AAGTCTTATTTGGAAACATTACTTAAGGAATTTATCTATTCACTGTGTATTCATGCACTCAGCAAAAACTTCTTGGACACACAATGCATGTCAGTGACACTGCTGGTACAGAGAAACATGAGTCTATACTTTAGAACTTTACAATCCAACAGTAATAATCTGTAATTGACAATAGTTTATCTTTCTACTGTATATAAATAAAATCCTCCCATTTTCCCCAGAATCTAAACAATGGCTAAGTTAGTACACTTGATATTTTAGAGTACTGCACAAAATCACGACTATTCATGATGTTCTTGTCAAAGGCACTGTAATAATACAGAGTCATCAAGAAAGGATTAAATTCTATTCAGTAGGGACTATTTATATCTTTCTTATTTCATAATTTTAATAATCTATGTATGATAGTTTAACTACTAGGTTACCATGTGCATGTTCAATTACATTAGAATATTCCATTTCTGAACCAGTTATGAATCAATGACCTCTTATCATAAACTGTATATGAATAGTAGGTTTAAGGACAATTAGTTTACTATACACACTTAAAAGAAAATTCATCAAGCTTTCTAGTACTTAGAAATACAAACAAAATTAAATTTAATAAACATGTCTTTCTGTACTAGACCATTTCTAATGACATACAAACATACTCTAAAACTTCCCTTTTAAAATTAAAAGAAAACTCCCTTGATCCCCACATTATTCTTCACTTATCACCTCTTCCTCTATTGCCTTTCACAGTGAACATTCACTAATGAGCTGTCTACACTTATCCAATACAGTCAGGCATCCACAGTGACCATTTATTGGAACTGCTCCTTCTTAAAGTCACTTATCTTCATCTTAACCNACAATATCCTGGCTTATTTACAAAAATAGTAATCACTGTTAACATTCCTTCACAGAAAAATAAATAATGTATAGACTTTACCTTCCATCGTCCTGATCTATTTTACCTAAACAGCTGTTAACATTCACTTGTAGTGGACCACCAGTTAGTGAATCAGCCTTCTCAAATGTTGGTGTAATCACAGATTCTTTTGAGGTCCATTTTTCATTTTCATTTTTCTTTCCTTCCATCATATGCAAGGCAGGACTTCTACTTTAAAAAAATCCATAAAAAGCCAAAGTTTTCTAATAATTCTACTGACCAAGAATAAAAAACATCTTTTTGGTAAAATTCCAACTCTTTGCCATCTTAATTCATTTATTAATTCACAAAACAGTCATGAAATACCAACTACTTATAGGAAATGTATAGTCCCTGCTTCAAAAAATAGGCAAATATATAATTAGGATACAATGTGATATATGAGATATACATAAAGTTATGTGAGGATAACAATGGCTTTACAGAAAAGATAAAATATAAAAGAGGAGTTTACCACACACAAAAGCAAGAGAAAACCATTCTACTTAGAGAATAGAATGTAACAAGGCACATGGACTCAAGGTGTTTCCTAGGAACTTGAGAGAGAAAGAGTAACATACACAGAAGTAAGTATTGAGAGATGAATGCTCCACTAAACTTGAATGCTGCACTAACAAACGAGCTATCTGCCTAAAAGCAATGACTATAACACAGAGTAATAACAAGGAGTAATAACTAGTAATAACTAGAATTGTGCTACATTTTTGGTTTTGTTTCTAAATAATGTTTAATTTAAATGAAGTTTTAAAAATAGCATGAGCACATAACACACGAAAGGAGAAATCAGGGAAGCATCTTGGGGGGAAATCTTACTTTCAAAATACCCATCTCCAACTATATATTTTTCAAAAACAGCATTATTCTGATTAGTTATGATTTTGTTTGGAAATAAAATGATTTGGTAACTTTAATACAATTTTAGCCTAGTATCTAATCCTAATATAAAAAGTTGGATTTACCAATAGAAAATTGTAATTACTTTTTTATCGAATAAACACAAACATAAAATATCATTATCATATACCTACAAAAATTTACAAAGAGACTGAAATTTCCCACTGGAGATTA